CCAACACACACACACACCAGCTGGGGTCACGGACTCAAAGCGAAGGGTAATCCTTTGAAAGGATCGATGGCTCGAAAGAATTGTCCCTTTCACCTGCCCCCAGGAATTGGTCCCCTTCTTCATGGCTAGTCATCACGCAAGGCCATCAGGTTAACTCTGACTCACAGTGACGCCACAGGACAGGCCAGCCCGACCCTGTGGGTTTCTGAGGTGGTAAGTCTTTATGGGACACACAGCATAACATGAGAGGCAGCAGGTGGTTTCAAACTGCTGACCTTGTGGTTAGCAGCCCACCGTGAAAGCCACTACACCACCAGGGGCTAGCTAGGCCTGGCTGTTATTGTTCGGTGCTGACCAATCAACTTCGACTCACAGCGACCCCCGGTGACAGCAGAGAGTGGCCCCTCAGGGTTTGCTCGGCTGCAGGCTCAGTGAGACCCCAGGTCTTCCCCCCACAGAGCCGCTGGGGGCGGTGTGTGTCTGTGCGTGTGTGTTTGAAACTGCCAGCTTCTGTTTCTTACAGGAATGCTCACCAACGGCTGTTCCACCAGAGATCCTTCAAGGTATAAAAAGATGTGAGGCACTTACGATGATTCTGTAAAGATTTTTTTTGTACCCTAACTTTATAAAGGAGCTGGCACAGGGGATCAGCTCAGTTAGTCAGAATATTAATTCGTATATTTCTCAGGCAATCTTCTTGTGGAGAAACTAGTGTTTCCATTTTTATTTATGCCATCTGTTTCCTCCAAGGGGAAGCTCTTACATTATTTCAGATGGGGGAGGGGGTCTAGGAAAAGAGATGAAAAACAAAACCATTTCAGGGTTGGATTCCAACAACACATCATTCTCTCCTTCTGGAATCTCTCTCTGGTTCCGCCGAGATCACTAACCCCACAGACAGAGCCTCTCCCGTCCCCTCCCAGTGCCCTGCAAAGACCGGCCTTATGAACAGAGCACCTTGAACATGCAAATGACAAATCAACTTAACATGCGCCAGATGGAAAGCCAACTGCTGACCAAACACACCAGGAAGTGTCCTGGGGCTTGGAACCTCCTGATGTCCTTTTAAGTACAACAACAGAGAGTACAACAACAGAGAGAGAGAAGAGTATGAAAAACCCATTCCCGGTTAGTGACCTCCGTACAAAGGGGCACGCAGCATTACCGATGCCAGAGATAGCACCGAAGAGGTCTTTGTGCAGGTTGTTGTCCAACGTGTTGCTCGACTTCTGCGGTGTCACTAAGGGGTTCACAGCTGGCAAGTTAAGTGAGTCATCCTTCACAGTCTGTCAAAGGGGGAGAGAGAAGCCATAATCAACCACGATTCAAGAGCGTTCGGCAGCCGCTCTTGCTAGCACAAGACAGAACAACTTGGCACGTAAGAGTGCCTGAGTGGGAGAAGCCGCCACCTGGTCTGTGCGGGGAGGGCGGGTGAGGAGGGTGGGCTGGGGCCGGGCTGGGAGGGAAGCGGTCACAGGATATTGACAGTCTTGGTTCATGAAGCCACTGGTTTTCTTCCCTCGGCAGTTCCAGCATCTTCCCCTGTCTCGGAGCTACATTCTTTAGGCTATTTCAGTGTTTGTGTGTGTTCTCCCTGCAGAAAGAAGCCTCATCTTCTCTTTCTGACAGAGACACTGATCAGAGCCCCTTTCTCTTCAGAGCCCTCTTACATAAGCCGCAGGGAATTAGAACAGCAGCAAGGAACAATCTCTGCGAGTGTGACGCCCCTGGTCAGTCGCAAAGTCAAGTCCATTTGAAGTTAATATGTCAAAACAGAGATTACCCTGACTGGCTCATCTCCTGATGAGAAATACAACTTTCCTCTAGTTCCTAAAGGTTTGCTCCCCGCTCCCACTACCATGACTCGAATTCGATCTTGCAAGACTGGCTAGACCAGAGGAGGTACACTGGTACAGATAGGAACTGAAAATACAGGGAATCCAGGACGGATGAGCCCTATAGGACCAGTGGTGTGAGTGGCAAAACAGGGAGGGTAAAGGGAGAATGGGTAGGAAAGAGGGAACCGATTACATGGAACTGTGTGTGACCTCCTCCCTGGGGGACAGACAACCGAAAAGTGGATGAAGGGAGACGTCGGACAGGGCAAGATATGACAAAATACCCATTTATAAACTATCAAGGGCTCAGGAGGGAGGGGGGAGCGGGGAGGGAGGGGAAAAATGAGGACCTAATGTCGGGGGTTTAAATGGAGAGAAAATGTTTTGAGAAACGATGTACAAATGCGCTTTACACAATTGATGTGTGTATGGATTGGGATAACAGTTGTATGAGCCCCTAATAAAATGTTAAAAAAGAAAAAAAAAAAACAACAGAGATTATGACTTCATGGCGATTTTACTCGGGTGAAAGCCAAAGAAAGGCCTGTGCTCATCCCTCCTCCTCCATCCCTAGAACTGAAACAGCACAGTGGTTGCCTTACGCCTTGAATGACCAGTGCCAGCTAGCAAGGGTTTAGCAGCGTCTCCTGGCTAGGGTGACACTGACCATGCCGCGCAACTGCAGTTCCCTGGAAGCCCCGTCTGTGTCAGAGGAGAACCGCTCTGGGGGGCTTCCACTGGCCAGAGCCTAAGAAACAGGTTTCTTCCAAGGCACCTGGGGGTGAACTTGAACTCCAACTTTGTGGTTAGCAGCTGAGTGCTGTTTGCAGGGGCTCCAGGATAGGATTAAAACCCCAAACCTGGACTCACCACCATCAAGTGATTCTGACTCACAGTGACCCCACAGGACAGGAGGGAAGAACTCGTCCTGTGGGTTTCTGAGACTTTAACTCTTTATGGGAGCAGAAAGCCTTGACTTTCTCCAGCACGGTGACTGGTGTTTGCCAAGCGCTGACCACGCGGCTAGCAGCCGAGCATGTAAGCACTCCACCACCTGGGCTTCTAAGGGTAGCAATAGTGAGATGCATTTCATTTCAGGTACAGAGGAAGTTCATGTTCTTGGGAACCGCAGAGAACATTCTATAGATCTGGCCCACTACAATGTGGGCAACTTGACTTAGGAAATGTATTCAGCGGCTGAGAGTTGGGGTAAAAAATAAATAAGAGGGGGCTTCAAAATTTCCTGGGAAAATAGAATGAAAAGATAAGGGAATTTTCCCACAAACACTTAGAACCCCCTGATATTTAGCTGTTGGGAACAGGGCCCGAAGCATGCACAAACTAGCCACACTCGCAACATGTTAACAAAATGGCAAGACTAACCAGGGAACCAGCTCAAATCCCCGGAGAGTCCCGAACACACGGGGAAAGGAGATTGCTGACTAGTAACATCTCCAAATTAATGGCAGACGAGCCCCTCAAGGTCAAGGAAAGACGCTTTAGGAAAATCACAGACATGGCTTTTAGTTTTGTGAAACTTCTGTGAACTTAAAAATCATTTAAGCTTCATGATTAAAAAGCCTAATGCAATTCAAACGTGACAAAGAAATGGACAGGAATGACGTTTTGAAAAATAGCAAGAATCTTTTTCAAACTATAAAATAAATCAACATCATTCACTCACTCCCTGCCATTGAGTTGATTTCGACTCACCGTGACCCTGTAGGACAGGGCAGGGCTGCCTCTGTGGGTTTCTGAGAGCATACATCTTTACAGGGACAGAAAGTCTCATCTTTCTACCACAGTGGCTGCTGGTTTCAGCTGACCTTGTGGTCGGCAACCCACCTGTAACCCACGATGCTACCAGAGCTCCTTAACACGTGTCAAGGGCTGATTAAAACCCAAGTCCATTTCCAGAGAAAACGTTTAGAGATCATTCCTGAAGCCATCCTTCAGGTAACTGAAATTTCCAGTGCCATCTTTAAATGTTGGCACAACAACCTATCAATGAAGGTGGTCCATTCTTGGAGGGTGGGGCCCTCACGTCACCCACCTTGACCTCCCTAACACTCAGCTGGACTTGCTAATTTCACAGATGGAGGGAAAGGACAGCTCAGAGACGGCTTGGCTTGTTACCATCCAGCCTGGGACAAGCACTGAGTTCTCCCCAGGGGCAGCTCTTCCCAAGTACCCCTCGCCTCGGCCCGCGCCCACCCCCCCATACCCCCACCCCCAGGACAGTGCCGGGAGCTCACAAGACATCAGACCATTAGGGAACATGACACTTTGATCAAGAGTTCAAAACACTTTCCCCAGTGATTCCATCTGCGCCACGGGGGCAATGTATCAGGAGCCTTGCAGATTATGATGGTTTCACTAGCACACATAGAAAGGAGGGTGAGTGAGTGAGTGAGTGAGTGTGCGTGCTTACATACACTTACACTGCCGGGGTTCACAGGGAAGGGGCACACGTCCCTCACATTGATCCGCTGGACGTTTTCGATCAGTAGACCAAACAGAGGTAGGTAGAGAGTGGCTATCCTTGCTTGATGGCTCTGAAACAAAGGCACAGCCTGTAAGTTTCTCCCGAAACTGGGAGCATCTCACCTAACAGTGGGCCTGAGGTGCCACTGGCTGCCGCCTTCATTCGGATCCCTCTAATGAAGAAGGATGTTTGATTTTGTTTCTTAAATGGGGGGGAAGCCTAAGCACTGCACAGCCCTGTTATATTACCGAGGGATTCGTTTGGGGTCTTAGATTTAGTCACATTGTATTACATGTCTATATACATTATATCAAGGAGGTTTCTTACTCCACAGCACTTTCCCTTGGGGCCACTCACCCGTGAAGCGTATCTGTCATCGAAAGAGTGCTTGATGAGCAGGTTCTTGAGCACACTGATGGCAAGGAGGCGGACGTCCCGGAACTCCTGCAGGGCAGTGCCCACCTCCCGCAGCAGCAACCCCACCAAGAAGTGGTTTCTGCAGAACTCATCTGTCAGCGAGTAATCCAGCTGGAGGTCTGAAATGAGGGCAGAGGCTGCTTTCATGAGAGGAGGCAATGCGATTTGAATACAATAGAAGTCAAAGCTCCCTGGCCCTCTGCACGATTCCAAACCCGGATAGGCCAGCAGAGTTGGCTTCCAATATGAAAAGGTGGGCACCCAGAGAACGGCTCTGCTTCCAAGCCCGCCTCCCGCAAAGAGGAAAACCATCTGCAGACAAGCCACCGCACTGGCCTGCCTCCTGTATCCTTAGTATCATGTTAGGGAAGCATCTCAGCAGCAGCCCCTCTCTCCAAGGACAGCCCAAGTCACGTTACTAATGGAAATGGTTACGGACATCAAGTTCAAGAGGAAAGGTATTGTTCTAGTCAATAGGATTACAGACGAGTCATTTCTACACAACAAGCATGTAATTAGAGAAAGAATAAACACACACAGTCTAGTAACATGCTCTTTTAAGGCAGGAGTTAATTTACTGGTCATTACTGCTTATATCCCAAACTCACGGACATTAAGGTGATTCCGACTCATTGCGACCTTATAGGACAAGGTCGAACTGCCCTTGTGCGTTTCCGAGACTGCTACGTCTTTTTCCTATTAGAACAGCTGACCTTGAGGCTAGCAGGCCAATGGTTAACCCACCGCTACCTTAAAGTGTGTGCTTCAAAAAGTTGGTGGGAAAATTTCATGATCTCTTAATTCTATTTTCTCCAGAACATTCTGAAGGCCCCTCATGTCATCTAGTTATTCAGCTCCCACAGATTGAAGAACCCATTTAATGTTGTATTTCTAAAATATAGTCTTAAAACTACTGCCGCTCCAAAAGCAACTGAGAAAGCAATATAAACTACAACTATGGGCCAAGCACCCAACTCAACCAGCGAATCGTCAACAGAGCAAATGATAAACTGGAGAGCTCTTCTGGAGAAGAAGACAGAGGCTATCATTGATAACTATTCAGGACGAGTGTTGATTTATTTTTTTGGAGGCAGCTAACCACGATTCTAAAAGCTGAAACACACGTTTTCATGAAACTGTAGCTGAGAGGTGAATGGCTATCCTGAATCCATTACTGCAGAAAGTCTATACACTCTTTGGTTCATCCTTTGATGCTAATCCCCTATCAGGGAGTTACTTCTAAAGAGATCCAAAATACTGCTCCAAGTCATATCTACCCTTCTGCAGAGGCACATAAGAGAAAAGAGAAGTGGATAAGGGAGTAAGGAGAATGCTTACAATACAACATTATTCCTATCACTATGGAGTCCCCCCGTGGTACAAATGGCTAACACACTGAGCTACTAACCACAAGGTTGGAAGTTTAAGTCCACTGTGAGGTGCCTCATAAGAAAGTCCTGGTGACATACTCCAGAGAAATCGGCTACTGTGCACCCTAAGGAGTAGACTTGGGCTCTGATACACGTGGGGGCATCACGAGTCAGACTACTCCATGGTAACTGGATGGTCCCTATCAGCACTGAAAGGTAAATGATCAGCATGTAGCCCATACCCCGCTGCCTTGGGTAGCCTCTCTTGCTAGCAACTACTGTGCAGCGTCCCTACGAGCAGGGGGGATTTGTGGCCACCCCATACTTGAAGGGTTTTTTTCCTTCATGAAGGTCAATAGGGTAAGTAAATGGACCTTCCAGGTCACAGGGCAGAACAAACACATGTTCCTGGAGTCACCACTTGAGGGGAGGTGCACCCCAAGAGGTGGGAAGGGAAAGTGACAGCTCCCAATGACCAGTGGCCAGTAAAGCACTATGAGGTAAGGGGTGGGGTCAGACTCAGGGGTCCAGGATGGGCCTAAGGAGGCAGGGGGAAGAGCAGTGACTTTGAGGTGGGAGACTAGGGAGAAGGAGCCCAAGCCAGGGGGTCCCAAGGGAACGGCCATGAGGGAAAGGTGAGAGTCCACAGCAAGGTGGCTGTTAAGGGTGACGGTATCACCAGGAGGGCCTGTGTGAAGAGCCAGAAGGAAGCAGGAGTGTCTGAGCTGTGAGGAACTGTGGGGAGTCAAACTGAGAAGGAGGCTGGGGTCAGAGTCCAGGATCCTTCTAGAAGTCTGTGGCAGCTACATAATCTCCTGTCAACTTGAGTGAAGGGGTGGAGTCTAGCTGTCAATCAGGTCACGCCAATCATGCCTCTGTGTGGGTATGGCCTTCTCCTGAGGATTCTGGGAACTCCAGTCTTCCTCCTTGGAGGCAGGACACATACACTCTCTCTATACACTTCATATTCCTGTTGACAAGCCACATGGAGCTATGCTGATGGAGCCAGAGCCCTGGAGCCGGAGGAGCCACATGGAGACCATGCCAGTGCTGAGATACTTCCACCACCACTGTATCCCTAAGACCTTCCACCCCCAGGCCTGCGATCTTCCTGCATTCGACATTATTGCATGTGTTGTATGAGTCTGAAGAGGAATTTATAGACTGGTATCGGACAAAAAGGCTAATATCAGACTTATGGACTGGATCTGGACTGGGCTATTTTCTTAATATACAATTACTCTTTGATATAAAGCTCTCTCTTACATACATATGAGTGTCTATGAATTTGTTTCTCTAGTCAACCTGGACTAACAAAGTCTCACTGCTGCCATGGCCCGGGATGCTTTGCAAATTCACTCACCTGCCATAAACCTGGTTCAATCCATCCTTTACTTTCTACAGATTCTTCTTCCAAAGTCACCTTCTGTGATGGTTACGCAATTTCAAGTCAACTTGAAGATACATAAAAGTTTTGGAGGTGGAGTTCGCCCTGTCAATCAGGTCACAGCCTGATAGTGCCTCCTTGTGGGCGTGGTCTTCTCATAAGGAGGGCCCTGGGAACCCTCACTTCTCTCTCTGCTTTCACCTGCCTGCTGGCAGCCCACTCTGAGGCCTGATGCTTCCTTCCACTGCCGCTGAATCCACAACTCTGTCCCCACCAGCCTGCGCTGTCCCCGCATTCTGCATCATCACATGTGGCTGCACCAGTCTGAAGAGGTACCTGTGAACTAGGGTCAGACTTATGGACCGGGCTGGGATGTTTTCTCGATATATAATTACTACTTGATATAAAGCTCTTTCTTACACGTATGAGTGCCACTGGGTTTGTTTCTCTAGTCCACCTGACCTGACACACCTTCTCCATGAGAGCTTCCCTGGCAGCCCTACTTCAAATGTCAGCCCTTCACCCACTCCTTCCCAAACCCACTCACTTCCTTACTAGCTTTCTGTTTTTCTCCTTAGCACCTGTCCTTCTCCACATCTTTCCGTATGGGCCACAGGCAGGGCTTTTCACCTGGTTTGTCCATCCCGGAGGCTAGAGCAGTTCCTGATATACACACTGGGTGCTGGGCAGGGAGCTGTGAAATGCAGATTCATCACCCCTCCCCCGCCCTTCCCCTAACACACACACTCCTCACAAGGAGGGTCGATCTGCTTTGGGGGGGATAATAAATCTATGAACTCGTGTTTTTCTGCATTTTCCAGGCCACTGATTTAGGTGGCACTAATCATTTGGTGACACCTCCCACTCCTCTCCTTGAGCACAAATAACCTCAGGATCATTTGTATGTGCAGCCATACAACACGGCGTGACAGGCCTGAGAAACTGACTTGGTTCATTTTCTTTACTCAGAGGGGACAAGAAACCTCTCTGAGCTCACATGTTAGAAAGAGGAGACGGAACAGCTTAGAGGCTCAACAGGCACACACGAAAAGCCCATGAGAAAGCCGTGGTGCTGGAGATGGAGGTCACGGTAACCGGGCGGACAAGGGTGGTGCGGGGAAGGGGCAAGGGAGGTGATGAACCCTTTGTCTTTTCATTTGTTTCCTTCCCCTTTTAAAGAATCATCCCAGAGGACCCAGGGACCCAAGGGAAAACACCTACTATGTGCCTCCCAGGAATGGCACAGCAATGACTTAGCTACAGTGCAAACAGAAGTCGCTGGCTTATCATGAGTTTGCGCACCGAGCAGAGGACAGGGGAAAGGCCTACTGAAGAGCAGAGGCAAGCACTTCAGCAACTACTTGCATTCTGGGCACCGGAGGGGCAGGCAAGGCAGCCAGGTCGCACCCACACCTACCTACAGGGGTGTCATTTGACTCCATGGTTGGTGACAGAAATGCTAATTTACAAGAAGAAACAAAAACAAACAAACAAACGAACGAAAAGGCGGAACACATAAAAAATAAAGCCACAATAAGTAAAATGGATTTCTATTGTTTAAAACAAAGGGATTTCGCAATGAAGAAACAGTTAGATTAGCGTAATCTTCAGACCAATAAATTTGCTGCAAAGTTAAGTTCCCATTAATATTTTCATCGAAACCTTTTACAATGGAAGTTAAACAGGAAGCAGTTTGATTCATCGATAGAAGAGAAAATGTTCCTTGTGTTTGGGCCAATTCTCTTGCCTTATCAAATATAAATGGTTTTCTCTGGGAGCAGATGGAGATTCATATAAAGAAATAGGTTACCTTGATATCGTTGAATCCGACCTTTCCCAAATGGCATTGGTAGATTCAATGGAATATAATGTTCATGATTGCACACCACACGGAGAAATTCAAATTTGTATTCAAAAAGGGTCTGTAGGGGGAAAAATTTCGTCATCTATTAAGCCTCTCTTCTTCAGCACCCTAAAAAAAAATTCTACCAGAAATAAGTACTAAGCCCCATTGTTAGCTTACTGACCCTCTTAGAAAGGCACTCGCTAGGTCATTTTAGAGATTTCTGAATGGCTGGAGGAATTTGTTTGAAAGATGGGAGCACAGTTCATTAAACAATGGCTTTGTGGTCATTTATTATGTTCTTCCTGCTTCAAAAGATGATTTCAGACCATTTATCATTATAGACACAGCAGCAACACAAAAGAAACTGAGGCAAAAGTTAAACAACAACAACAAAAACAACCAAATGTGCCACCTTATCATTGGATCTCCCTTTTGATCCATTTTAAATTTGTTTTACTTTTTGCTACTTTCTTTTTGAGGTTTTTCTCTGTTTAACTTGCTGTTGTTGCCAGATTTTTTGGTTTGGTTTGGTTACGTTTCTCTGTACATGAAATCCAGCATGGGTCCACCTATAGAGGCAGTACTGGATTAGTAGTTTCTTGGGAGTATGGCAGGGGAGGTTTGGGGTGGGGAGAGAATTGGGAGGCAATAACAATGAGTACAAGGACGAAGAGAGTGTTCTAAAATCGATGACGGTAATGATTGTACAACTTCCCTTGATATGGCTGAGCTACTGCATTGTACAATGTGTGGATTCTGTGTCAATTAAACTGTTGAAAACAAAGAAGAGACCCAAGTGAAATTTGTCCCAGAGGAAAGTTCCCTGATGACTTCTCTTTATCTTGGTCAAGAAACTCTGATTCACAACAGCTATCCTTTAACTTCTGCCATTGAGACTCAGGTGTGGAGAAGAAGACAGATGTCAGAAGACAGGCTTACTTCTCACTTGGGATTCCTGTTCCTTAAGCTCACATTAAGGGGCTGCTGAGTGGGGAAGTGGTTGATCCCTAGGCCTCGACTACAAACCCAGAGGCGCCGCAGAAAGTGGATCCCAGCTCTCCTGTGACAACATAGGGTCTCCACCAGTCGGAATCGACCCCAGGGAAAACTGGCTACATGAGTTCATACCAGTGCAGATGTGAATTCTAATATAAAGAGCCTCCCAAAGGTTCGTGGGAAATGCAACGAAGAGAGGGTGGAATCGTTCCCAGAACCTGTTGGAGCCCTGTCGCACTTCAAGGGTCAGGGGAGTGAGTTGTGCCCCTGGGGTGAATGGATCTGCTCCTGTGAACTGGGAGACTGGGGGCTTCCGGAGGCCAGTGAGAGGGAGGAAAGGCAGCGTGCAGAAGTCCATATTACCTTTGGGTCCCCGGGAGCAAAGCAGCTGATGTAGTTGTTGATCTGTTTAAATACAAAGCCCCTGTCCATGAAGGTGAAACATCTCTGTGGAGGGAAAAACCCACAAAGGTCAGTCCTGTATTTCTGGACAGTTGGGTGCAAGCTAGTGTTATTAACAACTTTATCCTTTAGCACAGTGGTTCTCAACCTCCCTAGTGCCGCCACCCTTTCATACAGTTCCTCCTGTTGTGGTGACCCCCAGAACCATAACATTATTTTTGTTGCTACTTCATAACTGCAATTTTGCTGTTATGAATCAAGCAACCCCTGTGAAAAGGTCATTTGACCCCCAAAGGGGTAGCGGCACAGGCTGAGAACCGCAGCTTTAGCAGGAAAGCACAGGGTCAGCATGGACTGCACCCCTACTGCCCACGAGGCATCATCGGGGGTGGGACGCACCTTGATGAAGCCAGCAAGGCTGTGGTTGGCATTTTTCGATGCCTCCGGGTTGTCGCGGAACTTCTGAGTGATGTGGGGCATCAGCATAGTGACGACCGTTTCCACCGCGTGATGATAGGATGCAGGGAACCTCTGGTTGCGCAATACCTACAAAGAATTCACAGTACACAGCTATTCTTTTGGGAACTGTAGCCCTTGAGAAACACAAGGCTCACCCCTCTATACAGTTTTAAAAAAAACAGAGCATTCTGATTTAATTTTGGTCTAAAATGAGTATTCTCTCTTCTGTCTTCAAACACACACACACCAGTTCACAGAGCTGATTCCGATTTACATGGTCGCCATGTGTGTCGGAGTAGACGTGGGCTCCAGAGGGTTTTCAGTGAGCAGTTTTTCAGAAGCTGACCACCAGACCTTTCTTCTGAGGTGCCTCTGGGTGGACTCGACTTCCAATCTTTTGTTTAGTAGCTGAGCATGTTAACTGGGTGCATCACGCAGGGAATACTCAAAGTACCATCCAAGACAAAAAGCCCAAGTCCCTGCCATCCAGTCAATTCTCACTCACAGTGACCCTTGAAAGGGTTTCCCAGGTTGTAAATCTTCACAGGAGCAGACAGTCTCATCTTTCTCCTGCGGAGCAGCTGATGGGTTCTGAACCACTAACCTTGCAGCTAGCAGTCCAATGCTTACAAGGTATTATCCAACCAAACTCTCTGCCACTGAGCCAATACTGACGCATAATGACCCAATAGGATGGAGTAGAATTGATCCTGTCTGTTCTCAAGACTGTAACTCTCTATGGGAGTGGAGAACCTCATCTCTCACCTGAGGAACAGTTGGTAGTTTTGAACTTCTGACCTTATGGACTGAAGCTCAATTCGTAACCACTGTTCCAACAGGACTCCTTTCCAAGGTATTTTAAACATACTCAAATACTTGAAATAAATTCTATGGATTCTACCCGGAGCTCTCAAAAGTCATTGTGCCTCTAAACCCAAAGTCATTGTGTCTCTAAACCCAGTGTCAATGGGAACTCTAAACCCAAAGTCAGTGGGAACTCTAAACCCAGAGTCAATGGGAACTCTAAACCCAAAGTCAATGGGAACCTTAAACCCAAAGTCAATGGGAACTATAAAACCAAAGTCACTGTGCCTCTAAACCCAAAGTCATTGTGCCTCTAAACCCAAAGTCATTGTGCCTCTAAACCCAAAGTAACTGTGCCTCTAAACCCAAAGTCATTGTGCCTCTAAACCCAAAGTGACTGTGCCTCTAAACCCAAAGTCATTGTGCCTCTAAACCCAGTCAATGGGAACTCTAAATCCAAAGTCATTGTGCCTCTAAACCCAGTAATTGTGCCTCTAAACCCAAAGTCAATGGGAACTTTAAACCCAAAGTCATTGTGCCTCTAAACCCAAAGTGACTGTGCCTCTAAACCCAAAGTCAATGGGAACTTTAAACTCAAAGTCAATGGGAACTCTAAACCCAAAGTCAATGGGAACTCTAAACCCTAAGTCACTGGGAACTTTAAACCCAAAGTAAATGGGAACTCTAAACCCAAACCAAACCCACTGCCATGGAATCAATTCTGACTCATAATGACCCTATTAAACAGAGCAAAACTGCCCCCGTAATGTTTTCACGACTGTAAATCTTGGTGGGAGTGGACATGGGGTAGGGAAAGAGGAACACACACACACACACACACACACACACAGTTTTATTAGTGCTTCATCCACATCATAAAATTCAATCATATTAAGAAGAGTTGTACAATTGTCCCCAATTCAATTCTAGAACTTTTTTTCTTCCTTGTAATCATTGTTATTCATGTAATTACTTTTTTTCTAACTGTGGCAAAAATATGCAAAACATTCTCCAATTCCACAACTTCTATATGTGTAATTCAGTGCTACTGATTATAATCTTCATGTTATACAACTATTATTGATATCCCTTTCCAAATTATTCAATTGACATAAACTCAATGCCCCCCCAGAACTTGTATTTTTATTGAATACCTGGTCATTTTGATGCTTGGGACCCCCAAATGTCTCTTTGGACAACATGGTCTCAGCTCCCTCACTCTCTCTCTCTACACCCCCTACCCCTTCCATTTCTCCTTCTATCCTACTGTGGGACCACAAGAATGCGGTCTCTGGTCTCCCCCCAACAAGGAGGGTCAGGCCTCCGAAATCCACCACTGACTGGTCCCACAGCCACACCTGGCTCAGGCCGCGCTCAAAGGGAGGATGGTGAGGCTGCGCTGTTGCTGGGCAACGTGGGACTTCTCCGACAGCTGATTTTGCTCAAGGACTTCCCAATGGCCTTGCTGAACCCTTTGGCACAGGCTGCAGTCTCCCACATGCCTTTCCTTCCCCTCCGGCCAGATCTGCCCCATAGTCTGAAGGCTCCCTCGAACTCTCATTTCCCGAAAATCTCACTATCTGGCCCCATCTGCTGACTCCCACAATCCTTTTCCCCAGAGGAAAGTTGAAGCCTATGGTTTCCGAGGACCGGTGCTTACAAATCTCGTTTGCTACTTTTGTCTGCTCTGGTTGTTGAGTTTGATTTCCCTCGTCCAAGCCTCTCACCTGACAACTAGAAATTTCCATCTCTTTCTGCTGCTGTGCCTCGGGCTACAACTGCTGGTCTTCTCCCAATATCTGTCTCCTGGTAGTGGAATCTCAACTTTGCAACTACGCGACTACACCCAGAAAAAAGACCCATTTACCAGCACTACTGCAGCATGGTGTGCCCACATGACTAAACCCGGCCAATGGGATCGTAATGATTTATGCAACTTCTGGGTTTTACTTGGAAATGGAAAAGATGTCTCCCCTCTCCCTCCTTCCCTTCCGACTGGCGATAATGCGGATGTGGTGGTGGACGCACAGTGGTCAGGGGTAAGGGCGAAAGGAGTTTGGGCTGCTGTTAATATTGCAAAGAAGAGCTCCCCTACGAGCTTTTGAACTTTCACATGAGAGGAAATAACTTTATTTATTGTTTAAGGCACTGTTATTTCTTCCATAGCAACTAAACTGATAGCCTAGTACCCCACCCCACCCCCAAATACAAGCTAGCCCAAACATAACGTACCAGATTCCATCTTCCTAAAAAGCCAACTCCTCTATCCCCTCTCAAGGGCTCTATCGGTCCTATGCAATCAGAGTTAACATCTAGGTGGCTGTTCCCCAAAATAGGACGTTTCATGTTCTATTTCTTAAAAAAAAAATCTTAGGTTTACTATCATTTACATATAGTAAAATCTATCCCCTTAAAGAGTTTAGTTTCTAAGTTCTACATATGTGTACAGTTGTATAGTTACGCCCCAAATCAAGACAGTCATTTTTATCACCCCCAAATCACTCTGAGCCACTTAATTCCTTTGTCCTAGCCCTGACCCCTAGGAGCCCAGCTGGTGTAGGGTCTCACCAGGCTGCTAACTGCAAGGCCAGGAGTTCAAAACCACTACCTATGCAGAGGGAGAAAGACAGGCTTTCAACTCCCATAGAGGAAAAGACTCCCCAAATGAAATCCAGTCTCAGAAGCCCACAGGGCCCTTCTACCCTGTCCTGTAGAGTCACCAGAAGCTGGCACCGACTTGATGGCAGCGAGTTGAGTCCTGACCCCTGGCAATGGCCGTTCTACTTCTGTGGTTTCTCTTTGTGCAGAATTTATATAACTGGACTCGAGTAGTCTGTAGTCCTTTGTGCCTACTTTTTCTTCCTTTTTACTAAAAAGAGCCCTGATGGTGTAGTGGGATAAAGGTTGGGCTGCTGACCAGAAGGTCAGTGGTCCAAACCCACCAGCTGCTCCCTGGGAGAAGGATGAGATTGTCTGTTCCCATAGGGATTTACAAAGCCCTGAGATCCCTCCCCAAACAGGAGAGCTAGAGTTGAACCGGACTCCACAGCAGTAGGTTTCTGTTGTTGTTTTGGTCTTTTACGAAACACAGTGCTTTGAGAGTCATCCAAGTTGTCGCATGAATCAAAGCCTTTGTCCCCTTTCATCACTGATATCTATCTCGTTGCATGGACAGACCATAACGGATTGATTCATTCTACTTGGTGGACCTCCGTGTTGTTCTCTATTTGCGGCTATTATGGGAAAAGTTGCTACGAACAGTTGCACGAACATCTTTGTACAGACACGGGATTTCCTATCTCTTCAGTAAATACCTAGAAGTAGACCTGCTGGCTCGTGGCTTAGCTGTCCCATTCTTTCCCCACGCTCTTTGCTCTCACCCTTGTTGCCACTGCGGCTCTCACAGTGCTACACCTCCACCAGTGTCTGTCTGGATCTGACCTCATGTGCCTGTAGTCTGTTTAACACATATTTCAGAGGGACAGTCCAGTAGCCTGCTGCACAGGTTGCTGATGGGAGGTGCATGGGACACTGCACTACCCTAAGCTCAGAGGGGAGGCAGGCTTATGCTCGCGTCACTCCTGCTGAAGGCCCTCCTCTGCCTCTTTGGCATCTCCACCACGGCAAGTCCGCTGCCTGGCTCTCAACACCACTGTCTTCTCGCCTTTGCTGCCGAGCTAGTTTTATTTTTCACGCCTCTGTCTACCCAACCTGAGCGCAGCCACAGCATCCCTTACCTCACCAACAACCGCCTCCTCTGCCCAATGCCTGTCTCCTCCCTGATGTCCTGGCATCCTCCAATGGCCAGACAAGGCTCCACCTGTAGCTCCACATCACTCTCTTGTCAATCTCGAAGCGGAGACGCACACCTTCCCATGCCTGTCTCTAACTGGCTATCTGCCGAGTATTTATTTTTCCTCCAGTAGCTATGTCAGGTTCAGCCGTGAGGGTTCCCACGCTGTCTGCATTCCTGCTCAGTGTTCAGGAAGCAGCTGCTCCGGCCGCTCGGTCACCTAGGCATGGGCATTCTGCTTTCTCACAATCCAGATAAGTAACGCTCAGTTCTGGGGAAGTCCCAACCATTCACGTAGAACACAAACCATAGCATCCTTCTTCTCCTGGTCAAAATGAAAGCTCCTTCTTTGTGCAGCGAAGCCGGGAAATGGTTGAATGGTAAGCGAGCACACAGACTCCAGGGTATACACTCATCTTCCCCCACACCTGGTTTTCCAGCTTCCTTTCTCAAAGGACGTCTGTGGAACGCCCGTGGTTTGCTTGGTTCAGTGTGGGAGGAAAGAAAATGCAAAGCCAGTCTGTTGACATTACGGTTCCTAACTGTAAGTGGCAGAAAAGAACTACCTGAGGAGTGCTGACGACAATGACGGGGTGGGGGGGAGGGACTCCCGTGAAGTCTGTGTTCTGTGTTCCTCAAAAGCCACCTGTAAATTGCAAGCGCAGGCCACCTATGAAACACTCAACTCAGGCATAGCCAGACCCAATCAATCCGGACTCGCTAGGTCCATCTGTGGTAATAAGGAGGCTACTTCTTTCAGGTGCTAGTCAGGAGAAGGGCTCTGCTTCATCCCTTTCTCGCAGGAAATGTAGCTGAGGGTGGTTTGATGGCCATGGATGGCCACCTCCACCTTCACTAGGCAGGCTCCACACTGGGCACTTTTATCCGGCCGTGCAAACAGGCCAGCTGGAGTCAACACGGCGCGTGGCTGCGGCGTGGAAGACTTCAGCCCAGTAGACCACTAGGCCCCAAATAGCCACTGATACCAGACGCCCTCGGGAGGGTCACTGTCAGCAAAGTTGGAAACCACATCTGTTTGGTTTTTTTCCCCCATGAAACTCTGGCTCAGCTGTTCCTAGAAGACTAGCGTGGAGCTTCTCAAGGATGCAACTGAAAAGCTCACCAATGGGACGGGGAGGCGAGAGTCACGGCCACAGGAATAAGTGATGGAGGCACAGGGATAAACTAGTTCTCTCCAGCCTCCAAATAGACAGAAAGCAAACACAACTCTGGGGCGGGTTTTGGAGCATTTGATCAAAGTTTTAATAATCATTTATAGATTGTTATCCTATCTGTAAGAGCCTCCAATACAAGGATTTAAATTTGAAAAATATTAAATTTTAATAATCACGAATGGTATAGATTGGTGAATATGAATTTATCCCCTAAATTCAAAACACAAGAATAAGGGTCAGACATATGAAGCTCTACAACACACACATACAAACAACTCATTTGAACACATCAAGTTTATTACTCTTAAGAAAGGAGGCAAATGGAATGAGGGCTCCAAGAGGAAGCTTTAGAAATGTTTCCAGATCGTTCATAGGGGACTTAGGGAGAAGCAGTGTGGTGCCTGTAAAGCCATCTCAGAACTCTTGATTCATCCCAGAGAGGGGGCCACTCCGACAGTGAGCATGTAAAGCTCCCCAAAGCTCTATGCTTTTTGGGTTTTTTTAATCTCTCTTTAAAGTAAATAGTTCATGTTCTCCTTTTGGATGCCTGCATTTGTTTTGAGGCACAGCTGGGCCACAATTTAAAAGTAAACTGCCTCTAAAAACTCTTGGCATATTGTTGTAGCACCAGATATAATTAACTTATGGAAAAGGTTGTGCGTGGTAGCATTTTAGCAGTTTGTGTAATGTTCCAAAGACAGTCTATTACCCCTGAGCAAAAGGGAGATTCTAAGGCTGGAAATGGCAGAACACCTGGGCTAGGTTAACTAGGTACTAGTCCTTGGGTCTGCTAAACTGTGTGACAGGTCACTTCCTGTCTCTCCACACCTGCACAATAGGATGGTGCTGGGCCAGCAGACACCTTCCAGGTGCTCCCTGCCCTCCCTAACACTCTGTGGCTCCAGGTGGCATCTCAAAGAGAATCATGCAATTCAATGTCTTTAGGAATTTGTTTACCCCATACTTGGACACTAGACTCTGACTCTATTTCTTGTGTGTTCAGAATGGTCAATGACCTCTCTAGACCACCTCCCATGTGGCCAGAGGAGGGACTGTGCCCTAAGAGCTCTCTGAGTCGCTGGGTCCCAAGCTTTCTGCCCCACACCCAGATCTCTTCTCTCCCCAGAGTGCTCACTCTCCTTCAGGTGGCCAGGGAGTTGTTCTTTACACCCCCTCTTCCAGGCAGTCCTCTTTGATCCCTCTCTGAGCCTGGAGCACCTCGGGCTTACCCAGCACCTGGCACCCGGGAGGGGCAATCAGTCTTTTCTGAACTTGTAAACTACATTTAAAAATATAACAAAGCCACCAATGTGACTTCTCTCTGAAGTCATTCAGTTAGGTACCAGACCACAAAAAAAAAAAAAAAAAAAAAATCCACTGGGGCTTGGAGCCTATCCTGTATCTGAAAACATCTCTCTCTCTCTCTAGCTCCATGCTGCCAAGTAGACAATCTGCTCGACTGTTCCTTGGCAGGGCGTTCTGGCATGATTTAGAAGGTGTGCTTCTCTGTGGAAGGCAGGGCCCACTTCCACCTGGCAAGTCTGGACATTAATATCAGAAATATTAAACTGGGTTTAAAAGGTTGTGTGTTTGTTTAAAAAGGAAACCACCTGGCCAGGCATCAGCACCGGTCTATTAGTGAAAGTACGGTTGTAGCTTCTGAACCACCAATCTTCCACCTGGCAAATCCTGACAATCTGAGGTTTCTTCAGAGTCCAGCTCTCTTGCCCCGGAGCGCTCCCCTCAGTCCTGCCCCTTTCTCTGACCCTGCAGACCCAAACCCCAGCGCTCCTCAAGATAGGGTGAGCCCCATGCCCAGCAGTGCATACAGGCTCCTCCCACCCTCCCCCTGCACTCCCCAAGACCCTGGGTCTGAACAACAGTAATAATGCAACCACTCACGCAAAAGGACAACTCTGGAGCACTGCAGGTCGCAGAAGGTACTTCTAAGTCATCGAACGAAAGAAGTACAGGAGCAGCGATGCCTAACGCATTTGAATTTGATAGAAAATTTGCCAATGTTTTAGCCTCAGGCAGCCAGAAAGAGGTCAGTCACCCCTCAGCAGGCACTAGCCTGGTGAGACCAGTCATCGCTCTGATGAGTGAGACCAGCAGGGACCAGGCAATTTCTGACACTGACCAGACCACAAAACCAGACTCCATTTCAAGGAGTTGCTGGAGGAAAGGAAATCTCAAAAAGATGGAGTTATCGATCTCAGAGTCCGGCCATTGGTTACAGAGCACAAGACATTTGGGCCTGATACTCTGTTGTTTTTTTAAGGGGAGAGCGCGAACACAGTCCCCCACTACCACAAATTATGCAGTCGAGTTTCCCACATTTGGGGAAATCGCAGGGGTCAGCACATCCGGAGTGCAATGGATACGCCTCGCCCTGGGAAAACCACCTTCATGATCATGGTATCTCCCCTGCCAGGTAAGTATGGGCCTGATACTCTTATCCACGTCTCAGGGTACCAATGGCTACAATGGTTGGGATAGATGTTATAAGCACTGGGTTACTGGAGCCCCGGTTACGTAGGGCTCATGCTGGGCTGCTAACCACCAGGTCAGCAGTTCAAAGCCACCAGCCACTCTGCGGGAGAAAGATGAGGTTTTCCCATCAAGTTTTACAGTCTCGGGAACCCACCGGGGCAGTTGTGTTCTGTCCTGCAGGGTCGCTAAGCGTCAGAACTGACTGCATGGCAGTGACTACGGTTTAGATTTGGAAGTACATTTTAAAGAACTACTTCAACCCCCATTCCCATTTCACTCCACCTGAACTCTACTAAGTCAGGACAAGGAGCCGTGGTGGCACAATGGTTAAGCGCTCGAGTGCTGCCTGAAAAGCCAGTGGTTGGAGGCCACTGTCCGACCTCCAGGGGAAAGACTTCTTGGAAAGATGCCAGTCCAGGAAACACGAAGGGGCAGTTTTGCTCTGCCACCTGAGGCAGGCTGCTTGCTCGGAGCCAGAGAGGACTCGCCAGCATGCAGTAACAAAGTAAAAGGAACAGAGCTGCTTGCTTTCTACGAATTCAGTAGTGTAGGGGCTCGAGAACGTGGGCTTGGGAACCATTCCTGTTCTCATTCGCTGTGTGACCTTGGTCAGGCTGCTCCAGCCCTCAGACCTCGGCTTCCTTGTTGCTGGAATGAGAGGTAAGAGGGGTACTTCCCTCCTAGGGTTGTTAGAATGCTAAGAGGACGTAGGACTTGCAGACGCATTAGAGGGTTTGCGGTGGTGCCAGTGCCGGGCACTCAACAATGAGCTGAAAGGTTGGCCGCTGGAGCCTACAGAGAGAGGTACTTCAAAGCCAGGCCTGGCCACTTGTTTCAGAGACACCCTGCGCGATTTCTACTCCGCACACAAGGAGTACCGAGAGTGGGGGTCAACGTGAATGACCACAGAGTACTGAGAACCACGTGGGGTGGGGCCAGAGGACGCCTTCATGCTGCCTCTTGAACCCCACGAAGGAGCCTGTCCCTTGCCACCCAAACCTGGATGGGGAGTAACATACCTTCACTTTGGAGTTCTCTATCAAATGCTGAGCCATGGATTTTATCAAGACATCAAAGAAAAACCAGGAATACTGAAAGAAGGGAAAAACGGGCACCATGAGAAAAAACAACCAATAAGAAGGCAAGAGGTGGATTCTCTTAGGCTGGCAGTGCTACCAGCATGAAACAAGTGTGGCCGTAAAAGCTGTGGAACCTTACAGCAAATGATCAGCACACCACGTGGGGCCTGGCAGATACTCTGTTGTCACAGGTTGAACAGAAAACTAATTCCACCCCTGTAGAAAACCGAGCCCTGCTCAAGCTGACACGAGGCTGTGCTACGTAAAACCACCGTACACCTGGCGACACCTGTCCTGTACCCCTTTGCTCCAGTAGGTTTTCATTCAAATATAATGACTTTCTATTAACATTGGGACTGCAGTGGTACTTTGCAACTCCTATCTCAAGATCCATATTGCAAATGGGGCTGGAGAACAACCTTGCCTCCCCTTTTTGAGAGATGGTGACTGCCTTTTGGTCAATTAGTGAACAGGTCAGTCTGTGAAGTCTGAATTTTCTTTCACCAATCCCAACCATGCAGAGCCACGCTGGCCTGGACAACATACCTTAAGGAGTTTGTTGCTGGTGAGGAAATCGGCAGAAGGCTTGAGAATGATGGTCATGGATTTGGTCAGTTCTTCATGCACCGTCTTATATTCAGAGGTAACATATGGCTCAGCCTTGTATGCATACTTTAAAGCCAAGAGAGAGATCTTTTAGTGCTCTAGGTCTCAGGGTTGGGCTGAAAGTTCTAGAGGCTCCAAGGAATGGAGAGCAGGGGCAAGGTCAAATGTCATGGGGAGGGGAGGTGGAAACGGAAGGCAGGAAGATGAGCGTCATATGACGGAAGTATGTGTGTGTGTGTGGGGGGGCGGAGTCTGTGATGTTCTCACGGAATCTACCAAAATAGGTGAGTCATCCAGCCCGGCAACTCCATCTCTTGCAAAGATTCCAAAGACTACGACACTCAATAATGGATACCCGGAAGGGTCCACAGTTTACTTTAAATGAACACACAAATTTGTTATAATTCACAAAGTTGTTGAAACCTTCTTAGAGTTTGTGTGACATTTTCAAATAGTAAGGGCCACCAAGTGTGTTGGATGTTGGATGCTGTATATCAAAAAGAACTTAGGCTATTTATCCGAATGACATCTCTTCCTGTTCTACATGCTCATCAGCTTTGCATGCAGCCAGAGGTAACATTCCTATCTGGGGACCATCAGTTTTTCTAGGCATTTTCCATGAGAAGCACACAGCTAGATATCCCAGGGGCCTGGACAAGAGCAACATAAAAATTCCTCTTTTAATTTCAACGCGAGTAGGATGCCATTATTTTCCAAAGTACAGTTGAGAGGGTAAAGTTCAATACTAGCTCTGAGGTATAGAAGAGAAAGCCTAGGTATTAAGTTTCAAGTAACACCCCCAAATACCAAGACTAAGCTCCTGGAAGAACGGTAGGTGCCAGAGATGTCAGGAATCGGACAGCGTCTCCTACATACCTTCACATACGACCTCAAGTGGCTCTCCAGTCCTTCCTCATGGCATTGGGCAACCACGTGAATAATGACCCTACACACCACAGGGATGAGCAAAGGCATGAATAATCATGTGAAAATGGAAACGTTTCATTACTGTCACAGGAGCAGCAGAACCACGGCCATGCTCTCGGCACCACAGGAAACAGAGCCAGGGCCTGTCTGTGGGGTTGCAAGAGCACGCACCAGCCTCTCAGCAAGGAAGGGCTGGGTTCCCGAGCTGGACAGAGTGAGAGAGAAGCAGCACATCCTGTCTGCCGGCCTTACCGCGTCACATTGACGGCGACGTCCTCCTGGGTGGCCCTGGTGAGGACTCGGAACAGCTGGTTTAAGATGGTGGGCAGGAAGGCAATCATCACATGGCCCTCCATGGCGTGAAGACTCTGCAGACACGGAACGGCAAAGTCCTAGTTTAAAAATGACCCCGTCCACAGTAACGCCCACCGTCCACTCAGTTCCAAAGACAGATGGGAAAAACGTCATCTAGCAGGAATGAAAGTCGACAGCAGGAAGAATAATGCCAAAGATGTCCAAATCCTAATCTCCTACACTGTGGCTAGGACATACAAATCAAGGAGAATTACGTTGCTAATTAGCAGACCTTACACGGGGGTTATGCTGAATTATCTGGGGAGGACCCGATGCAATCATCCAACCACCACCCTCAGAGGCCGGGGAAGTCGGCTCCCACTCATGGTGACCCCACAAGTGTCCGACTAGATTTCTGCTGCCGAGAGTCTTCACTGGTTGATTTTTGCAGGGTAGAAGGCTAGGCCTTTTCTGAACACACCTTTTGGGTAGACTTGAGCCACTGGAGCTTTCAGTTAGCCGCACATGCGTATCTGCTTGTACCATCCAGGGCCTGAATCATAAGGGTTCTTACAATGGACAGATGGAGGCAGAAGAGAAGTCGGAGTGAGATGGGACTTAAGCAGAATGGTTAAAGAGATGTCACACTGCTGGCTTTGAAGACAGAGGGAGGGAGCCGTGAACCAAGAAATGCAGCAAACTCTAGATGCAGGAAGAGGAAGTGCAGTCTCCCCTAAACCCTCCAGGAAGGAACAGACTCCGTCAGTTGCAGTCCCGTAAGGCATGAGGAGCAGTTCTGACCTAGTCACTGCATGGCGATGAATTCACCTCGTCTCAGTCACCAGGTCTCTGGTGCTTTCTTATATTCTCAATAGAAAACAAACACGAAGGCTCTTCACGTCGGATAGCCCTTTTTTAGGGTGGCCTGGTAAAGTAGGAACTGAAATATCCATTCCATCTCCCTGGCTCAAAGCAGGCACACCTCTATCCCATTTCTAAATGTTCTATCCCCCATGACTATAGTGTCCATTGAGCTAGTCTCCTTTTCCAAAATATTCCCCACAATCACATTCTGGATAAACCACCCAAGACAACCCATAGCTACCTCACTCTCACTGCTCAGTGACTCTGTGCACACCTAGGATTGTGTTAATTACCCGTGTAGCATGCACTCACCAAGGTTAGAGTACCTTTGACAACAAAGTTCCGAAGAGCAGGGCCTGAAGTCACCCCTTCCCATGTGTTTGTTACCAGACACTGGCCCAGTGGGCATGCAACGTGAAGTGAATGGTTTCACGTGCACAGAACAGAGTGTGTTCGGAGGTCTACTCTGAGAAAAATGCACACGGGGATAGAATGAAGGCAAGTCCACAGGGATGCTAATGATGCACTCACAACCAGCTACGAGCGTCCTTAGAGAGGCTTCCAAGGGGTAAGAATCATACCTGCAACCAAATAGAAAACCCAACCTACCCCAAACACACTAGAAGTGATTACTGTTT